AAGCCCGGCGGGTTCCCTCCCGGCGCTGCGCCCGCCGGAGCATCGGGAGCGTCGCGTTTTTGCCGTCTGCGCCGGGGGATGGGATCAGGCGAGCGCAGGGCCTCCGCGCAAGCTCCCGTTTCTGCTCTGGAAACAGTCATGAGAGGAAGCTCAGAGCTTTATTCTCATGAAGAACATTTTTCTCGTTCTCGCAGCATTAGAGGTTAAGGCAATGTTACTTCTGATCTCCGCTAGATACAGAACCAGTCATAACCTAAAGGCAGTCTAACCTCCCTAAGAGACCGATCCTCTGCACGCGATGGGGAACGCCGCCGACGGCGCATTCGTGCAGACGCCGCTTGAGTTACGGCGTCTTCCCGAACTGACCTGTGGTCTGCGGTGCTTTGCTGAAAGCTACACGTTCTCTGGGAAAACCTCTACCACAAGGCTGGAGGAGAAGGAGGAAGAGGCCCAACAGAAGTCCTGAATGTTCAGACTGCTTTAACCTAAAAGGTAAAATCAAAAGCTCCAAATGAAATCACACTAAATTCTGGACCTTCCAACACCTTGCTGCTGAATCCTACTGAACGCTGCTCTAAGGGTGAAGCTTAAGGCTTTAGCGTGCTCAGAGATACATAATTCCCCAGAAACCACCTTCCATTACGTCAGCTAAGAAACTAAATTCAAACTCAATTCTTTGCTTTAAAGTTCCTTACATTCCTTATTATCCCCGTGTTTCTGCAGGACCTCTTCTGATCCTCAGTATGGCGGGGCTGCACAGGGTTGCAATACAGGACTCTGCAGGCTACAGCTGCTCTCCCTCCTGTAAAGTATGCACAATAGATTCCAGTTTGTCTCCTGGAGAAGATACCAGAACTAAGTGAAAGCAAGGTAATTACAAACAGGATGGAGGCATGGAATATTTTGGGGGGAAGATGGTTTAGCAGCTGGTGACTGTAGCTTCCAGGTAGTCTATCTTGACTTGAGGGTATCCATGCAGTTGCCTGAGGCAAGCAAGCATGTTACTTGCATTTCAGTTGCACACAAGCCTCTGGGAGTTACTCCTGCACATTGCTAATACCACTGCCTGCCCGTTGCCTAAAACCAGTAAAGTTGGCCAACTTTACAGATAAACCCTTCTGGTGTGGAGGAAGTTGTCTTAATCCCAATCATTCTACTAATCCGGTTTACTGAGTACCCCACAGCAGATGTACGTGAGCAGTAGTCAGCTGTGGCCCGGCAGTAGAAATTTCCTTGGTAGGCTCCGTCAAAGCCAACACATTGTGTATCAACACTGACTGAAAAAAACTATTTCCAACTATCAGGATTTTTTGTGGAGTTGGCAGCCATGCTCTGTAAGAGGAAAAGTACTGCCAATCAACCCTTCCTCTATCAGAAGTGTGAAAAAGGAGGTTTATTTGTATGTTGCAATAATTGTTCCTTACTGACTTCTACAATTTGGCATTGGGAGACAGCAGGAAGAACTGGAGCCTTTGTTCAGACCTGAACCATGAGGGCTCGGGAGCTTTTTGGGGACTGAGCTTGGGCACAACCGCTAAGGTAGTAAACAGCGGGAAGCCTGTGCATTCATCTATGTGTTAAAACAAAAAGGGGAAATTACAGGAACTTGGTGGTAGAGGTGGTAAGGATATAGCTTGGATTCAAGTGTTGTTTGTACATGCTTTCAAAAATTCTGGCTATGATAATATTTCACACTACTTAGTTGAGTTTCGTTCTGCTTTGTAATGTTGCCTTATGAATTAAAAATGCGTTAACCTTGTTCTTTTGTGATGCTCTGAATGCCAGCACTTGCTTCTGTGATCATTTATTCACGCTTCCTTTGACAATAACGGGGATGGTTTTCCACCAGTTTACAAAACTTGGGCCTGTAGCTTACCATCTACTGTCAGGTGGGAAGAACGCCGCGTGGGGGGCACTGGCAGGGCTCCCTCAGCTCAGCGGGCCAGAGCCCACCGCCGTGAGCCCGGTCCCTCTGGTCAGCGGTGAGGGCCTTACGCTGGGCCCTGCCGGCTGGCCCCCGCCCGCGCCCCCCC